GGTGGTGAAACACCCGACCGTGGAGTCCGTGGTGCAGTGCGAGATCGACGAGGTGCGTTGGGCTCCCGGCTGCGCGGAGGTGCCCCGGGGCTGCGCCCCGACGGGCGGGCTGCCCGGCAACACGAAGCCCTGTCCACAGCATCCCCGGGCGCTGCCGCCTCACCTGCTGTCCCTCGTCAGCAGCGGGTGCTTTGCGGCCGGGTGGTCCTGCTGGCATGACACTGACAGCTCCACCTCTTTGCCTTACGAGTCATCTACGTGGCAGCTGGCTGCCTCTTCCATGTGATTTCTTCCACACACGTACAGCAAAGGCCCTTCCAGGCCAGCGTGGGCCAAGCCGGGGGATCTGGAGCAGGAGAGCTCTGGCTTTGTGGAGGTGCTGCTTTTCCTTCCCTCCCGATGCAGAACAGAGTGCTGCTCCTGCTGGAGGAGGGAGTTTGCTTTGTTAAGCAATCTCCTGTGACTGAGAGCAGGAAATAAGCGGGGGGTATTTCTTTCCGTGACAGATGGGCTGGTCCTCCTCCTCTTGGTCACTTTGTTCTGATTATTTACTTTCTTAAAAAGTTTTGCTGTCTCCTCAAAGCGAGGCTGTATTAGGAATGGGAAATGCTGCTATATGAGACTGTACTCTGTCTTCCAAACTAAGTAGGGATATGTGCCTGCTTTCGAACAAGCATTGCCTGGCACGAGCATATTTTTTTGTTTCTGCCAGCTGTGAGAAGCTGGTAGCATTCAGTACAATCGCTGGGCCTAGGGTAGTGGCCGTCTAACTACTGTAGCTGTTTTAGAGAGAAAACAGGGGATTGATGTAATGACTGTAGAGCAGAGGTGAGGGTATTTCTCATCTTGCATCCGGAAACCTGCTGGCATGGTTTTATTTAGGAAGAAAAAAAAAAAAAGTCTTTAGCTTAGATCACCTCTGCAAGTGATGTCCGCAGGGAAAAGGAGCACAGATCTGTAATCGTATTCTCTGAGTTCCTCAGGGAGCTTTTGAAGCTCCAAGCTCTTGTTGAGTTTGGCAAGGACAGACCAACAGTGTCACTGAACCCTGAGGCCATAGGAAAGGGCTGAGTGTAGCGTGTTGGCTGAAGATGCTGACAGCTCTCGAGGATCTGACTAGCAAGTCGGATTTGTGCTGAGGACATGGGAGGAAATGATTCATTGTACTGTTCTTTGAGCTGCAGCTGCACAGTAGCCTAAGAAGTAGCTCCTTGTAGCCCTTGCTGACCCACTTATGCTCTCTGTGTTCCAGGATGTGATCCAGGTATCTAAGAAATACCTCCCTGGGATGGCAGTGGGGTATTCCAGCGCTAAGCTGACCTTGCATGTGGGAGATGGTTTTGAGTTCATGAAACAAAATCAAGAAGCCTTTGATGTGATTATCACGGACTCGTCTGACCCCATGGGTAAGAATTTTGGCCATAAAAGGGTACTGCTTTCCACACTCTTCCTCCTTTTCTCTTCTGCCTACTTCCTGGAAGTAATGCCAGCCTGCCTAGGCTCCTTTCAAGGGAAAACACTGTCACTGACTTGGCTCTTTTGGTAGAGAAAGGGAAGGATGAAAATCAGAAAAGTGTATTAACAAGACTTCAAGCCAGCTGTCACATTTCTGTCCTCAAAATTCAACTCCAGCAGCTACTGCTTCTGGCAGAGTTGGTCCTTGAGTCCAGCAATCCCATGGGGAATACAGCACCATGCTGGCAAAGACAGCTTTGCACATATGCCCGCTAATGAAGCAGTGGTTTATGCACTGTTGGTGTAGCTACCAAGCCTGTAGCTACCTGGCTGTAGTGGGGTGGTTGTTCTTCTTAAGGGGAAAACTGAGGTAGACAGGGACCAAATGTAGTTATGGTGCCTCATTTTAGGGACGTAAGGACGAGTGCCTGAGTCAGGTTTGCTCTTGCTATAGTCAACACATGGAGAGGCATCTCTAAGAGGCAGTTTGGAGCAGGAGTTCAGTTTAAAAAATGCTCACTGAAGTAAAAGGCAGCTGCTGGGACTTTCTTTGATAAAGGTACTGGACTTGCTATTGAGCAAAGCTAAGATCCTGATGGTTTTGCTGTGCTAGGTGCAGGCTGGGGTTCACCCAGGGTCAAAAGTTTTTGCTTCCAGATTATCTCCAACATCTGTGATCACTGAAAAGCCATTTGAAATTTTTTTTTCCAGTGCAACTCTTGTGCAGCCTGAGCATTCAGAAAACTCTCAGAAGCTTACCATCGTAGTCTCTCTTTAGACACAGCTCTTTACTCGCTTTTCTCCCAGGTCCTGCAGAAAGCTTATTCAAAGAATCCTACTACCAGCTGATGAAGACAGCCCTGCGAGAAGATGGGATTCTTTGCTGCCAAGGTGAGGATGCTGTCTGTGGGCAGAGGCTGATACCAGATTGTTGCACACAACGTGTGAGGCACAAAGGGGGCTCTTCTTGGGGAGGCGCAATGCAGGGAGTTAAATCCATTTCAGCTCCCAGGTACAGGAGCGTTTCTGGTCTGTAGACGTCAACTCATTAACTGCTGGACTGCACTTAGTAAAACTGCGTAAGGGTCTTATCTTGCCTTGGAAACCATATGAGATGTGCGGAGTAGAGCAGGTTTGGACTTGGAACCACTGTTAGCCTGGCACAGGCCTGTGCAGAGAAGAGGGGCAGCTCTCACCTTGCATCCTGTCTTCCTTTCTCCCTGTAGGTGAGTGCCAGTGGCTGCACCTGGATCTCATTAAGGAGATGCGTCAGTTCTGCAAGTCTCTGTTCCCTGTTGTGGAATACGCCTATTGCACCATCCCCACATATCCCAGCGGGCAGATTGGCTTCATGCTCTGCAGCAAGAACTCGGTGAGTTTCAGGCACCTGAAGTGCCCTTTCCCACTCCCTGAATGCACCCGCAGAGCCTGCCTCAGGCTGTCCCTTACAGAGCTCGAGCTGTAGCACTGAGCTCTCCCAGCTGTGGGGCCTCTAGACTCATGCTGGGCCCTGGCTCTGCCAGCCCAGGGCCCCAGAGCTGCAAGGCAGCTTCCTCAGTGCTGAGCGAAGTGCAGAATTGCCCAGTAATGTAACCAGTTGCCTTAGAAGAGGACATGGTTTTCTCTCTAGTACAACAGACTTGGAAAGGAGGAAGCCACTACCAATTTCTAGAGCCTGTTCAGGCTTTGGCTTATCGATGCTGGTTGTTATAAAGTGGGCACCTGCTTGATAAGACTAATAATCTGCTCATAGAGGGGTCCAAGTGAGAGTCAGTGTTGGGATGTGGGCTGGTAATTCCATGTCAGACCACTGAGGTCTGTTCTCTTCCCAATACGCTGCGTTACAGCAAGCCTGTAATGCAACTGTCACATTAGTTTAGGGAGCCAGCAGCACTTCTGCTTCTGTATTTGACTTACGTGGGGCACTGGCGCCTTCACCGTGCCTGACTTAACACAAGAATGTGGATTCTGCTCCAAAGAGCAAAAGTCTTGCTGCTTAGATGCTCAGGCACGATCTGACAGCTTCCTCTGGCACGTGGCTCACATGCAGTCTGACCTCATAGGCTGACATCTGTGAATAAGGGCCAGTCACACGAGGTACGGGGTGTAAACTCCAGCCCTTGGGGCTGGAGCTGTGCAGAATCTTTGACCTCATACTAGAACAGAAAGCCATCTGTTTTCCTGCGGGTCCCCTTGGTTCTCTGCCATGAATCAGGACGCCTGTCACACAGCCTTGTGCTCATTACCCAAATGCTATGGAGCTACCTGGCTTCTTTATTGCAGAACACAAATTTCCGGGAGCCTGTGCAGCAGCTCTCACAGCAACAAGTAGAGGAGAGGAGTCTGAAATACTATAACTCTGACATTCATCGGGCAGCTTTCATTCTGCCAGAGTTTGCACGGAAGGTAAGCAAGGCTGAGCTGCTATTCCTCCATCAAGGGCGAGGTATGACTTTTCCTTGGCAGGAGTGGGAGTATACAGGACTGAGGATTTCCTGCAGCCCTAAAGGCTTCTGTGGGCAAGTCGGAGCAGGACAGCGTTTTGTATGACATAGCAGAGTATGAATCAGTCTGGGAAGACTGGAGTTTGGAACTGCTCCTCGCGTTGATGTCCCATGCCTTGATGGCGGATCACTCCTACTTCACCTACCAAAACTAAGTCCAAGAGCCTGCAGAACTGGTGTTTCTCATTGGAAAGCTGCAGAAGTCATAGATAAAATGTGGTTGTGGTTTCTGGTGCAAACCAGAGGGTAAAGAAACAATGCTCTAGTGTAGCCTGCCTTCTAGAAGGATAGTCTGTACTTCTGCATCATTCTGTCACCTCTTCACTGTTGTAACTGCAAGTTCCAGAAAAAAACTCAAGAGTGTCCTAGGGATGAAGGCAAATGCCATGGTGGTGGTTCAGAGCCATGTTTCTGATGAGGACTGGTAGAGCTGCAGCAGGTCTGTCCTAACACTTTATTGTCTTTGGCTGTGTCCAGGCCTTGAGCGATGTGTGAGACTGAGAAGCTGCTTCCTTCCTTCAAGTTGGACCCTGAGATCGTCAGTGATGTGGTGGGGACCTTCCCAGCAGACTGCAGATTTGTTCTCCACTGTGTGGGATTGTTTAACCCTTTGCCAGCCAACATTCCCTTTGATGATGTGTTAAAGATGATGGGGCATAAGACAGATAAGACTATTGAAAAGGCCCAGTGACTTATTGCGTGAGGTCAAAACTGTTCTTTCCGGTGGTTGAAACGTAAGATGTCTTTTTCCTTTCTCTCCTCCCTACACCCATTCTAAATTCTCCTCTCCCTGCACCCCCTTCCACCCCCTGCAACTGACATGATATATTTATAACTGACACGTATTTCTGTCTGGTGATCTTCTGAAACCTGGGAAGAGTCCAGAAGGGTCACTGACTCAGCCTTAAGCACAGAGAGCGGGCGCTTTGTGCGCAAAGTTAGCTTGCTCTCCTAATAGGAGCTCCCTGCTGCTGAGACGTTTTGACTGGTAACGGGTCTGAGCCTTTGTGTCCCACTGCCCTTCTGCGGCACCTGCACTGTTCTGCAGCACAGCTGGAGAA